ATGAATACTGGAAGCTTTCTACTAGACAGGACACATCCATTGATGCATTCTCTTTTCTAATATCTACAACCATGGACACAGTGTGAAACACAGACATAGCAACACTCACCTTGTCAAAAGACTTGCTAGAAACAATCCACTCCAAACCAAACAAACCACCTATCCTAGCTCTTCTCAGAACATGAGACAAAACCACAAACTCACACCCACACCCACAAAGCGACCTCCTTCCCTGAAGGAGGTCTGTGACTACCCGCAGTGTTCTATGACTGGTGGGCCATGTTATGTTCCCTCGAAATGGAATGTCCTGTCTCTCAGATCTGGCCTCCTTGGCCAATTCTGTGAATTTGTCAGGAGCCAGAGGTGAGCCACTACTTGCCTTCTCAGGAAAGACCCCCTTCAGAGCTTTCCTGGCAATTGGCCATCCTCACATCTGTAGGTACCAAGAAAGACTGACTCTGTCCTTGGTAAATCCAAACAAGTGAGCCCACTGGGACTGGCACTGGGACTGCCTCTGTGTGCCTGGCTTCCTGGATCCCAAGTTCAGAGAATTCCGTCACCAAGGAACTGTGGTGAGGTCACTTCCTTCATAAACTGAATGAGGTCACTGCCTTGGAAACCACTTTGTCCTAACTGTTGCATCCAAGGGTCCCATAAGATGGAGGCTGCCCCTGCTTCCTGTGACACTTTCACAAGTTAGAATGGTATATCAACCATAGGCCCCCAGGAAAAGCTCTCCACACAGGCCTGGTTTGATCCATCTTGTCTACATTAAGAAGAGAGAGGCTCTTTCAGACACATCCCTTAATCCTGACCAGGTTGTTTGCCAGGGAAGATGACTTTTGCTCTCTCAGGTCCTTCCTAGCTGCCTGCATCTTCTCCAGGTATCATTTCTGCATGGACCTTTGAGGATCTCAGCAGATGGAAGATCCCCTACATTCCTGTATTGTAAGACCAACTCTGTCCCTGCTCTTGTGTAAAGTTAGATTAAGGGAACAGTGTATGCTTGGGGTTAAGAACATGGTCGATTTGGGTTAGGAATCATTCTGCTGGATGAAGAATAGTATTGGGAACCTGTGATAATTATAATAATATAGAAGTGAAATATATGTATGAAAACA